TCAAAAACATGGCTTGATACCAGATCCTGGCCAGACCTGCTTGCTATGTGGGCACTAACACACACACAGACACAGTTACTTTACGAACTGACCACTGAGCTCCTAAGTGTCCCGCAAACCTCATTCAGGGATCCACTCCTCTACTTCAATGTCACGCCCTGAAAGCTCACTGTCCTCACTTTCTGAGGACAGAAAGTGGACATTCCCTTGGTTTCCTTCCATAAAGGGTATTTACATCCATGTCCTGTAATTATGAGTAGATTGTAAAGTAAAAAACATTGACTATGATCATAGAAATGCACACAAATACATCTCTATACTCATATGCAAATGCATTATATAGCCTGAAAAAAACTGGGCTAACTGCGCAGTGTTGCCTTGAGGCAATGAATGAAAATGAACAGTTTTACTGTATAAATAAATTTACAAAAGTAGAACAAACAATCTAATATGCTTCTTAACATATTCATGCACATACAAGTATTTTTTAATATACATTGATTTCACTATAAACATGTAAAATAGTGATCTTTATCTTGCCTCCTAATGTTGATGTCCCCATGTAGTGCAGCTTGCAGAAAGGGGTCCTCCCCCCCCCCCAAAAAAAAAAAAGAAAGTCACACCACCTTCAACTCATCATTTTATTGGAAAGAAATGTGTCTGGTAGCATTATTTGAAAAAACAAAAGTATTTTTTTTTGAAGGGCCAGTGTAAGGCATGAAAATGTGGTTTGTTGCCTCAGAGCAACGCTATGCTGTAGAGGGTTAAAGCTGAGTGAATGCTGAACCAGCCCAACAGGCAGAGCCTGAATATCAACAGGTAATAAACTGATGAGCAGTCAGGCTGGAGCCTTCATTTCTACCTGTTTATGTTTCTACAGTAGAATCACCATGACGATCACTTTATAGTGTCTCTGCTGGTTTTTGTCTTTGCTTTGTGTCCATAACTAAATACTAAGACCACACGTGTGTCCTCGTTAGGATAGGGATTTGTGTTAGTGTGTGGAACTGTAGCCCCAGGTTCATATTGTTAAATGGTAATAATGAGACAATGTGTTTCAGATCATTTTACGGAAAAACATGAAAATAATGTAAGGAGTAGCGTAGAGTTACTTTCTCCTGGGTGTAATTAAGTAAACTACTGCATTATTTTTAAAAAATGTTTTGTGTAATACATGATTTTTTTATAGTTACAACTCCATGATCACAACAAAAAAGGAAAATACCTCCAACATGCACAAACATTTGACCACGCAGCATGTAATAGATTTGCATAAATGTAATGTCTTGATATGCTGCTTAGGGATAGTGGTGACTCTCAAAGTGGAGCCAATGAGAATCAAAACGGAATCAATAAGTGATATTGATAATGGAATTGGAATCTCTAAATTCTTATAAATTCCCATCCCTACTCAGAGTGTCAAAGTCGGCATTATTGTCAAAATCCACATGTACAGATCATACACAGGAATTTGAAATTGCAATGCTCCCACGGCCCTCAGTGTGCACTAAAACAGATAAAAATAAAACAAAAGTCTTATATAAAATACAATACAATCTTGTATAGAGAACAGTGTCCAACACAATCCAGTATTTAGGTAACAAATACCTTGTGTGGTCAAAGTGGCAATAACTATCAGATTAAATTAGAAATTCAGAAGAGTATGATTTGGAGCCACAAACAAGATATTAGCCTGTTTGTCATAATGTTGGACTTTAAACATATCCTACTTTACTGTCGTCTGCTGTGTGCCTCTTCTTCCTGGTTTGCTCAATCCTCAGAAATCAGTAATGGCGGAACACCTTTAAGCGACATAAACTTTGTTACTATGAAATAAAAGTTCATTAGAGTCGGGCATAAATATTTTGTCATCTGTTTCCACTTAAACAGATCGGACGAAAATCCAATAACTTTATCTTTAAAAAATAAAAAATAAATGTCTCTGATGGTTTATCAAAAAGAGGAGGGAAAAAGAAAAATGTCGACTCACCCGATGATCTGCTTAATCTTTAAAGTCTGTGTTTCTGTGCACAGGTCAACTGGTTGGTCCACATCACAAGCACCGTTCTTCTCCACTTATTCCCGTTTCTGTAACATTTCTGATAATATGCCTATGAAATATTATTTAACTACACAGGACAATTTTGCTGCGCCAGTAGGTCTGCCGTTTCTGCTGTGAAAGCGAAAGTATTCCTGAGCACTTCCGTCAGAAGTGTGTGTGTGTAGCAGTTCGATTTTAAAGGGTTGGAAACTGTTTCACATGTAAACTTGATGGAAATCCAATAAATGAATCTAGATGGCCACGTGTGTAAAATAGTGTAAAATAAAGATTTATTGTCCTGGAGTTAATATCCATTATTCCAGAAAATAGTGGTACGAGAGCCAACCGGGTCGGATTCGAATTCTCTTGATACTGATGATACTGTTAGAAAACATTGCCGGTGTTGAATGGCTTCCAAACAGGCCGTAGCCACTCAGACAAAACTTCCACGTCAGCGCTGATATAGGAGCAGGAGAAGTCAAAACCAGAGCAAGAAAACCCATATATCTGGACTTTCCCAATCAGTCTGGTTAGGAAATTATATAAAATCGCCGTTTAATAAGTCAGGACGTCGTAAAAGACGGCGAGAACTCCGCCAGAGTATCATTTTGAAAGCTTCCCTGTGAGCTGCGAAAAAAACGACATTTCATCCGTTCTTTGAACACCTCTTCTTCTCGCTCGCAGCTTACTCAATGAATTTTATTAGCTTCGGAAAAACGTCGTTCTGATTGTTGTACACGTGATTGTTCTCTCATTTTAGTGTTAGTAGCATTTTTAAAATGGTTGAACAAAACAAAACAAAAAAACCCGCCAGATGCATTGGCTGCATTTTTAGATAAATTGTAGTTGTATGTAACTTTATTGTTTACAAAATTTGTGTATACGTTTTCAGAATTTACAATTTATATTTGCATTTCAACTCATGAAAATAATTTACTGAACATGTCTGTGGTCTTTACATAAAAATAATATAACTACTACCAGGATTTCATGGGGGTTTTTTTTATTATTATTTCAGATCAGTTGTGTTAATGAAGTATGTCAATGAAAAATAATTGTAACTTCAGAAACGTGAAGTTGAGCTGAAAAGAATGATACCAAGCAAGGCAAAAAAATAAAATAAAATAAGAAGGTAAAATACATGTAAAATAAAAAATAGTCAACAATGGCTAATTATATTTTTGGACCTCAGAGTGTTAACCCAACAAATCATGAAAAATTAGGTTTAAATTTTTGTTCATGACAGTGCAGAATTCTAACATTTTTTGTAAATTTAAGCAACAATTTGATTATTTCTAACAAAGATATTGCACTGAAAAAAAGGGATTGGGAATCTCTTGGATTTATGCGAGCCTCTTGCGTGTATTTAACATAATTGCTTCATGCTTTAAAGTTAAGTGTAACTATATAGTGTAGAAACTACATGATATTCAGACAGGGTAGATTAAATTGTTCATATCATGTTCGAGTGAAGTAACTCAATAATATAGCTATGTTAAATCTCGCGACACCGCATGGTGTCTGTATGAATTTCAATAACCTCATTAGTTCTTGTTGAGATGACATGAAACACTCTAGTAAGAGTGGTTAGTTGCTGGACTCATGAAATTCACAAGATGGCACAAGATTTCAAACTGCAGGAAAATTCAATGAGAGGTCATCATCACTTTTATATGTTCAAGTGCATAGTATAACCGGGCGCTGGCGTAAACTCTCGACCGTCTCACACTTCTGTTTAATCATTTAATCATCAGCTGTGTGAAAACCCCAGAGGAACCCACCCGATGGATTAATAAAGTTACATTTAATTTAATCTAATCTAATAACTTTAATCTCACGAACAAAGAAAACACTAAAAAAGCCAAACAATAACATTTTTAAGTTATCAAAGTGACTTATATATCATGTTTAACCTGAGTAGTGAAAGACGGCGGGGGTTTGAAGACGATGTGTCGGCTCAGATATTTGAAGTTTGCACAGCTACATCCTCACCTGAAAATATGTTAAAAGTTTTTTTTGTTTTTTTTTGCGACCCAGAAAGAGAAATAAGAGTAATATTAAAACTAAGTAGCTGCCATTGTTGGAAACTGGAATTGGCTGGGCCGTGCTATGAATTCTGCGATATGGTTTTTCAAACTTTTTGTCCGGGTGGAAAATCGGGAGAAATTTGGGAGAATGGTGGCTCCGGGAGATTTTCAGGAGGGGCACTGAAATTCGGGATTCTCCTGGAAAAATCGGGAGGGTTGGTATGTATGGTTGTGGCACTAACCTTGTCAAACACCTCAGAGTAAATCATATCACAGAATATGACGAGCTTATGTTGAGGCGAACTGAAGAGGAGGACAGGGACAGGTGCTGCTGGGGCGAGACAGACGTCTCTCACGAGTCCTTTAGTGATGCAGGCAGGCAAGGTGTTCAAATAGCACAACTTCAGTTTTTTATTTCTGTATGATGAACTCTGCATTATTAAGTGATAAGAACAAGAAATCTGATGTCCTGTAATCATTATGACGCTATAATTTGAGATACAATAAATAAAATAAGTTTTTGTACAAAGTATCGGTATCGGATCAGTATCGTCGACACCACCCTGGATATTACTTGGTATCGGATAGGAAAGGAAATCAGTAATATCGCACATCACTACCAAATGCTGCTTACCTCTTTCAAACTTTGCGCCCGAGACCAACTCTGCCTCCGAGGCGTGCCTTACTTCGCCCCGCTGCCAATCGCACATCAAATGGGCGGCTCCCGCGGCACCCCGGTTATCCAATCGGCTACAGGTCCAATTTTACGATCTCAGACAGAGGACGGGGCTCCCACAAGACTCCTGTCTCCAGTCCATACCAACTGCTCTGCAACCCAGTGTTTCTGGTCCCCTCACCAACATCGCTTTTTCGAGATATCCACCTGATCCTCCACCACCACCTGAGAGCAGGGGAGGGGCAGCAGGTGCTGGGTCTGTCGCTAACACATCTGCAGAACAAGTGTGAGAAAGCAGGACAGAGTTTCATTTCTTAATAATTTGTTACAATTTAATTTCTTTACTTCAGCTTCGATGCAGTAAACTGACAATAGGAATTAATATGAATTAATTAATATTTGCCTCTGTCAGTGCACCCAGGGTGGCTGCAATGTAGCTGCCATCACCAGTGTGTGAATGTGTGCATGGCTGGATGTGTAAAGCACTTTGGGGTCCTTGGGGACTAGTAAAGCGCTATACAAATACAGACCATTTACCAATATTTCTGTTAGTTATGTCACATTTGTTGGTCACATATGCTCCACTGGCATCACTTAAAGGACTGCACTGATCATCAAGTCAAGAGATTGCAGGGTTATTTATAAAATATGAAGTTCCATTTGTCACCTGGGAGCTTAGCTCGTGGCTAAGATGGAGGTGATTTATAACGTCTTATTGTCCTGAGACTAAAAAACACATTTCCAACCCTGTTATGTTGTCTGGTATTACAGTTTCTTTAACCTCATCCTACTTGTTCCCAGTCATAATTCACCGGTCTGTTTTAGTAGCATAACAAACATTTTTGATCACCAAATTCAGTTCAGTGGGTCTTTCAGGGGGTCGTTCAGCCCCATTAACTCATTACATCACTTCCTATAAATGATGTAACAAGGTTGATTAAAATACTCATAATTCAATGAAAGAGGTGATCATCACTTTTATATGTTCAAGTGCATCGTGTGCAGGATTTCATAGAAGAGTCGTACCTTCAGCATAATAATATTTCAGAGATGCAGAGTACATTCATCCAGACTTACTGTCATTTTTTTGTCTTTGTGCCTCTCAGCCACCTGACAAAGTCTCTCCCTCAGAGCTGTGGTGTCAGGACGATGTCAGGGCCAATAATCCAGTGCTGAAGTTTTACAAGTTTTGAAGTTCATTTGATTTCATCATTTGATTCATGTTGATCATCTGAACAGGTTTAGATCAGGCGAAGCAATGAATTGATCTAAAATGAGTGTTTTCATACCACAGTCTCACAAATACTCAAAACACTGATGTTACCCTGTGGTTGACATAATACAGCTGTTGGCTGCAACATATAAAAGACAAAACAGCAAGATTTGATTTACTGTGGTGAAACTGATGTAATTCCACGCTACACCAGCAGGTGACACTGTGTGTTTGTGTCGGGACTAACCTTGTGAGCTTTGGTAGAAGGATATGAAAAAACTATGGTGGCCCCTAGAGACAAAGCACGTACAAACTCCAAAACACATGTCTGCTTCCTCTCCCCTGACACAGCCTGTGTCCCTGTTTGCATTCACTCAGCTCTCGTTGGTTACTGTCAGCACTGTGCTTTTGTTCACTGGAGGCAAAAATGATGCAACATTAGTTTCTGGTGAGAACATTTAAGATAAATGTGAGCAAATACTGATACTGATGAGTTACACAATAACACTGTACAATAAAATGTGATGTACTTCTTAATTACATACACTCATGTGTTGGTTTAATTCAAAGTGGTTTTAAAATGTAGTTTGACCATAATGTAACATTTAGGGTGTTATCAGGACTTTTCTTGATGATCCAGGTCTGGGAATCAAAAATCTGAACACTGTGATGGATCAGCGCTTATCTTTGTAGAACTGCTGGGGTTTCTAACTTGGGCAGCATCTCAGTCTCATTTAAGTCTGGATCTCAACTCGGCCACTCCAAAAGTTTCATGTTTTTTTTGTTTTGTTTATATATTTATTTATTTTTTTAGCCAATCAGAGTTGGGAAATCCTGCTG